GGTATCCGGATCCGGATCCGGATCCGGCCGGATCCGCCTTTTCATTATCCGGATCCGGATCCGTTCCACCCGGATATCCGGATTTCGGATATCCGTAAAAAGAGCCGGATATCCGCCGGATATCCGGATCCGGGTTTTTTTTTATATAATTTTTTTACTTAATATAAAATTTCAAGAAAAATATTTAAAAACAAATAATTTAATATAAATAATTAAAAATATTATTTAAAAAATATTATTCTTATATAAAATAATAGAATTTATTAATAAAATTTAAATAATAGTAATAAAATATTAAAAAAATATTATTATTATATAAAATATCCCGGATCCGGATATCCGGCTTTAAATTTTCTATTATCCGGATCCGGATCCGGATCCGGCCGGATCCGCTTTTTCATTATCCGGATCCGGATCCGCCCCACGCGGATATCCTATTTTTCGGAGCGGATCGGAGCGGATCCCGGATCGGATCCCGGATCCCGGATAATTGGTCTCACCCCTAGTAGATATAGATTTTAGGGATATAGAGTTTTGGATGCCAATTTATTAGTTGTAACTAAAAATTATGATTATTAAATATTAGAATTTTATATTTATAAATTATATTTTCTTAAATTATAAAATTATGTATTATAGTAAATAAACTTATTTAATAATATTTACTATAAGATATAATTTACTATATGTTATATAAAACTACAAACCTTCCTTTCATTTAACACAAATTGTATCATGCACATATAGGTTAAATGAAATCGATATAAACACATTTGTATAAATGTATAAAATATTTTATTACTGTATATTTTGGTTTTTTTTTTTTTTTTTTTTTTTGAAAACCCAAAATATACGGTAATAAAATATTAGATATAATAATATTTACTATAAGATATAAACTTATTTAATAATATTTACTATAAGATATAATTTTTGGCCGGACGGGTTTGGCGGGACGGGTTTTTGAATCAACAATAATAAAAAGATTAAAATATCATTAATCCGTCGCTTCAATACGGATTAAATCCTTAATTTTTTTAATACCACCAATATTAGACATATTAAATCTGTCTCATTTAGAAAAGATTGTATAAAACCAAAAATTATTTTTTTAAAGAGATACAATTTACAAAATATTTTTATACCAACTTTAAAAATAAATCACTCCGCGGTGTACCGCGGGTTAAAATCTAGTAGTTATAATTTGATTAATTCATACAATATTAAATAACAATTTAGAAATTATAGCACCCGGACTCCAACATGGATTATTAATCTAGTATATATTAAATTAAATCAATAAAAAATATCATACTTTCTCCATTTTAAATTAGTTGTCGTTTTAGAAGTTGAATTTTGTTTCAAATTAGTTGTGGTTTTAGGTTTTTAATGCATATTTTTTACAGATTTTCCAATTTTACCCCTACTCTCTTAGCTTATGAATTGATAATATTACATAAAACAATACATTAATTAGAGGTAAAACAAAAAAATTCCTATTTTAGATAATAATATTTAAAATTATTTATTATGTTCATTTTAAAAATCACCTACTTTATAAAATATAATTTATTTTAAATTATAATTTTTGAGTCCGGATCAGAGAGCTCTGACGAAAAAATGTAAGATATAATTAACCTTTTAATGTACCAAGCGAATCCAATATGTAGTTTAAGATTCGATTTGTGGGAGTCGATGTGGATTGCTGCTTTTGTCCTTGTGAGTCGGCGATATCATTTGAGCTTCTAGAAGATGGGCCGATCGACCAATTTTAATGGGCCGAACTTCTCTGAATTTGGTCAAATATTCTTAAAAAAGAAAATCTTCTTCCTGGGCTGGGTTTAAAATAAAAAAGACAAAAAATAAACTAAGATGTTTTAGGGGTAGGCCCATATCCAACAATAAACTATCAAAAGAAAATTAGTTTACTTCCCTTTATTTTTTTTATTTTTTTGAATAACTAAGATGTTTTAGGGGTAGGTCCGTACATCTCCTCAGACCAGAGATCTGCACATTTTATATGACCCCCTCCCAAATGTTACTTTTTTTTTCTTCTTGTTAAACCATTTTAGATTGATTTTCAAAAATATTAGGAACTAATAATAAGTTCCATTAATTCTCGTTAACAATGAATATGGCCGGTCTTGATCCAAGCCTCCTTATAAGCTTTCTCACCATCCCACTCGCTACATTGATATTTTCAAACGTTATATCTGGATCAATAATCTTCAAATTCATGTCTCTTTTATAATCTTTAAACGATAGTTTTGCTCATGATTGATGGCATATGTATATCTATTTGGAATAGATTCCACCTTTTCCAATGATGGCACCAGCAAAAGGGGCATCTACACTGATCTCGATAGTAGCATAAACACCAATGATTGAAACAGAGCCTAATCCCGAATATTCTCTTCTTGAGAATCTGCCGCATGCACCACCATAGATCCTTGCATATTTCTGGAAACTTGATCAACCGGTGGTCGGAGATTTGTCATCTGAGCCCTAGCTTTGTACACACCGCGAATATAGTGCAACTATGAAAAAGTGGCAATTGTCACCAAACGGACATCCACAAATGTTAGCACGAATGGTTCGTGTATAACCGCATTTTATTTTGTATGTAAACAATATCACTACGGATTGGCTTGTTTAAGCTATCCAAGTAATAAAAAGATGTTGACCAAAAAAAAATGACATCCATAAATGATGCGATACAAAGCATAATGCATCAGCAAGTTAACCTAAGAAAAGAAAACCAGTTACATATCTATAGGCTATTTCACTATTCACTACAAGAATTGTCGAATCTGGCTACGCCCTGGCTTGGTAAAATCCGTTACCAACAAAATTAGCTACAAATATGGCAACGGACGGCGACAAGCAAAAACACGGGATTTTCGTAGCCATATTTATGGCCATCCCGTCACAAATTTGTAGCTATATAGCTATGACGTAGGCTGTCGCTGTTCTGTAGCCAAATAGCTACGCATTAGGTAGGGAATGACCGCCACGAAAGTATTCCACATATAGCTACTGTTGGCGACGCCAACTCCGTTGCTAGTTGGCAACGACTTCAGTCCCTCGCAAATCCGTAGCCAAAAAACACAACTTATCCACGCCAACCCATTCTTTGTTCGTGATGTCTTATCAATCATTTTTTGACTGCATATGGCTACGGTGTATTCGTCGCCATTTGTAGCAAAAAAAAAAGCAAGAGAAAGTGATTGCTACCTTCTCGACAAAGCTATAATATTTAGTACAAAATGGATGAAAGAAATTTATAGAGTTATAAAACAGATTTTTATTCCATAATGCATCACCAATGAAGAACACGTTCCACAGGAGCCGAAAGACTCATAGATAATTCAAAGATGATGCAAGAAGAACCTTACCACATAATAATGGTTTAGTACTGCATATACTAATCGGAAAAAATGTCAGAAAATGCACGAACTTTCAAATTTGGGACAAAAAGCATGAACTTTCGAAATATAATTTAAATCATATAGTTTAGTTTGACTTTTGATAAAATGATTAAGTTTTCGTTGACTTGGTCATTTCGGGCATGTCGTTAAGTTTTAGTGTTGTTATTTTTAATTAATTGCATATATTTTTAATTAATTATATATTATTTTTTTTAGTATATATACAATCTGTTTGTTATAATTCCAGAATGTTATCTTAGCTCAGTGGTTCATAATCTCTTATGCCTCCAAGAGGTAAGCATTTCGATTCTTCATGGACACAATTGATTCATTTTATTTCGTCGTACAACGACGTCGTTTCGATTCAACCGAGATTTCTAACGGAAAGTTAATCCCGTCATCGTCTCGTTAACGGATATTTAACGACATGCCCGAAATGGCAAAGTCAATAGAAACTTAACCATTTAATCAAAAGTCAAACTAAACTTTATTATTTAAATGATATTTCGAAATTTCATGCTTTTTTGTTCCAAATTTAAAAGTTCACGCATTTTTCGACATTTATCCTTATACTAATTACATGTTTCTTACCATCCAACATAAGAACAATAAACAAATTTTTACAAAGACTTCCACCAAGACATTAATTATATATAACAAAAAGTACATATATTTAAAAACTAAACATCAAAACGAAGATACATCACATGTACACAAATTTATATGAACTCCGTTTAGTAAACTATATATTAAAATATTTTTCTTTTATTTACACAATTTTTAACAAAAAAAAATAATATTGCACAAAAAAGAGAGATGCCTACTCGAATAACTAGTATTCTGAAAAAAAATGGTCCTTGTGAGTTAGGTGGATAATCAGAAGTTCATGTGCGGTTAATGTCACTGAACCAACATGCACAGTTTGGGCCCAATGACATGCTTCTCCGCTGTTAGATCTTTGGCAAAGATGAAGCACTTAACCTCTGGTCCACATTCTTTGTTTAGACTCGGTTTAATTCTTCCAAATTTTTTAAAAATAATCTCCCTTATTTCGTAATAATTATCATATTTCACTAAATATATATAATAAAAAAAACTTGTGGTACCGGCACATCAGCAAATGTGACCTCCAATGCTTCTCTTTTAGTATTTAGATGTTATTTCTGGAATAAAAAATTTGAGGAACTTTTGCACTTTTTCTTAAAAATAATAAGATAATAAATAAATTTTATTGATTTTGAAATAAATTATTTGATCCACCTAAGATGAATATACTAAATTTAGTGAGAAATAAATAATTTAATTGTACTAAGATAATAAATACATATTATTAATTTTGAAATAAATTCTATGATCCACATAAGATTAATTTACTAAATGTGGTGAGAAATAAATAATTAAATGTACTTTTAATATTAATGTCTTATTAAAAGATATTTTCATAAACTTTTATACCACAAAAGTACTTGCACAAAGGATTTCATAGTTATAAATAGTTCGAATCCGACAGCTAATATGGAAATGTCTTTGTAGCTTCTCTCGGTATATATATTTCAAACTCTTCTATAACATCTTCAGTTTTCGGGGAATATCTTATCTGAGTTCTTAGAAATGGGGAAACTAAACTCTAAATTTATCTCGATGATTCTTTTCGCTCTCGTGGTAATCGTCTCTTCTGAAGTTATATTCGAGGAGCGATTCGATGGTAGCTACATGTTCTCTCTCTGTCTATTTCTTATCTAGATTCTAAGTGTCAATGCGATCGATTAATGGTTTTATGATTCTGTTTGATAAGATGATTGATATAACTTGTTGATCCATCTTATATATTCCAATTCAATATAACTTTTCCAAAATATCTGCTTAAGATTGTTATAGATCTTTAGGATTTGTGGATTATGGTTTCTTTTTGATTTTTTGAGGCATTCCTGAAACCACGGGATTACAAATTTTCAATAATATTTAGTATGTGATTGCTTACTTATATGATTAAGTCCTTGAGTTTAATATATCATACGCAATAGTACGTATGCAAGTTTTGATCTAAGTAGTAAACTAATGATTTATGATATATTTTCATTTGTGTATGTTATATATATATTTTTTTTGTTATTTTGTGGTCTATATTTCGAAAGACGGATGGGAGAAGAGATGGGTAAAATCCGACTGGAAGAAAGATAACAACACTGCTGGGGAGTGGAAACACACAGCTGGAAATTGGTCTGGTGACGCTAACGATAAAGGTAAGTTTCAGGACTAGTGATGGTATGAGTCATTGGTTCTATATCTTCCTGTTAAATTTCACTCTCTTGAAGGTATCCAAACAAGCGAAGACTATCGATTCTACGCTATATCAGCTGAATTCCCCGAGTTTAGCAACAAGGACAAGACCCTAGTGTTCCAATTCTCTGTCAAGCATGAGCAGAAGCTTGACTGTGGTGGTGGCTACATGAAGTTGCTTAGTGGTGATGTTGACCAGAAAAATTTCGGAGGAGACACTCCTTACAGGTTCATTATTGGTTTCTTTCACAGTCTTTATATCAACATCAAATATTCAAACATCAAACTTATCTTCTTATTACATGCAGTATTATGTTTGGCCCTGATAAATGTGGTGACAACACTAAGCAAGTACATGCTATTCTTACCTACAATGGAAAACACCACTTGATCAAGAAGGAGGTCCCATGTGAGACTGACCAGCTTACTCATGTGTACACATTCGTTCTCCGTCCAGATGCTACTTACAGTATTTTGATTGACAATGTTGAGAAGCAAACTGGTAGCCTCTCCTCTGACTGGGATCTCCTCCCAGAAAAGAAGATTAAAGATCCAAGTGCCAAGAAGCCTGAGGACTGGGATGACAAAAAGTACATTCCTGATACGAAAGACACTAAGCCAGCGGGATACGATGACATCCCTAAGGAGATTCCAGACACTGATGCAAAGAAGGTTTGAACCATTTTCTTTCATTGATGAAAAACCAAATCTAGATCTTCATTTTGATTTGGATCCTTTTTTTTTAGCCTGAAGATTGGGATGATGAAAAATCTGGTGAGTGGACTACCCCAACCATTCCTAACCCGGAGTACAAGGGTGTATGGAAGCCCAAGGTTTGTTAGTTTTTTTTCTCTCAAATGGATATATATAAATAAGATGGTTAAACTATGTGCTTTCGTCTCACGGTTGTCATATTGTAATGTAGAAAATCAAGAACCCTAATTACAAGGGCAAGTGGAAGGCTCCAATGATCGACAACCCTGGTAATTTTCATAATGTCCATAGTCATGTAACAAAGTGCACCATGGCTCTAAATTAGTAGTTCTAAACTAAAATAAATTTTGAATTTCTGTTTGTTATGGTCGTATGGATATAACCATAGTATTGAATGTAAGATTTTGTTTGCATGGACTTATATTGGATAAGTAAGTATATCAATTTTGTGCAGATTTCAAGGATGACCCAGAACTATATGTCTTCCCTAAATTGAAATATGTTGGAGTGGAGTTGTGGCAGGTAATAACTACATCTTGTCACTAAATTTTTTTGTGTGTGTGTTTATGATGGTAATAATAACATCTTGTGACATATTGTGTTTTTGGTAGGTGAAATCTGGATCTTTGTTTGACAATGTCTTGGTAAGCGATGATCCAGAGTACGCTAAGAAGTTAGCCGAAGAAACATGGGGAAAGCACAAGGATGTATGTTAATTAATCCATGCTCTTCATTTGGTTTATTGTGGTTAATAGAATCGTAGCTAATAATCTAGTTGGTGTTATAGGCGGAGGAAGCAGCATTTGAAGAAGCAGAGAAGAAAAGACAGGAAGAGGTAATACAATATCCTCCATCCAAAAATATTTTGTCTAATTCCAAATAAGTTGAATGGTAATCAAGAACTTGTATATTTTTTTGGTTATTACAAGGAATCAAAGGAACTTCTCGCTGAAGTTGAATCTGACGTAAGCTGTCTCGGGCTTCACAATGCAAATTAACAACCTGTCTGTTTATGTAAAGGTTCTTGATATAAATTTGTTATTCCTACAGGATGAGGAAGAAGCTGAAAATGATGACAATGAAGGCGATGACTCGGACAACAAATCGAAATTTGAGGAAACTAAGGAGTTCGATGCCGCTCATGTATGTGTCTAACCTCTTCTTCAACATTAATACAAAAAATATTGGGCAATAAATTGGATTGTGTGACTAACTTTGTGATTATGATTTTACTATAGGACGAGCTCTAAGCGAGGAAGGTGAATATTTGAAAACATTTTAGAGTCTGATTTGTTTGTCACTTTCTTAAAGAAATGTTTTATCTCTAGTTTGGTTGGGATGTACAACTTTCTTCTATTATTGTGAAAGGGCTGTGGCAGCTTTGTTTTAAACTTTGATAAAATTCTGATTTTCCGATTTTCTTCATCTCTCTCCTTCTCTTTATTCTCATCTCATCTTTTTACTATTTCCACCCAAAAATCTATTACAAAACTAAAATAAAATCTCATGAATCATATTTTATCCACAAACAACACTAACCATCGAGCCCAAGCCTCTGTGGTCTAGTGGCAGAGGAAGCTTTGATGAAGGGTGAAACTCCCAGACCCGAGTTCGATTCTCCCTGGAAACAAAAACACATTTGTTTGGGAAGTCTGTCAGTTGGGCCTTGGCCCAATTGGTTTACCTGGTAGTCAGAAATGCAGGCGGCCTGGTGGCCCAATTCTACCTGGATCGGGAGAAGTCCACTCTGTAGCACCTCGGTGCGTTCCTACCGAGACCGACCGGATCAGACAATAGGGTTTATCAAAAAAAAAAAAAAAAAAACACTAACCATCGAACAAAAAATTAAAAGCTAGTTTCCTAGTGGTTCACGGTCTGACACGCATTTCTAGTAGTTTAACCCGAACCAGACTTAGATCACTCAAATGATTCTCCATTCAGGGTATAGGAACTAGCAGTGCGACCGCTAGAGATCCATAGAATTAAGGACCCCATAAATTAGTTTACAGAAATCTCTATGTGTAGATAAAAGGGGCCAAAAATATTTTGTAAAACAAAGGGGCCCATAAAAATATTTTATTAGTCATAACATACAAAATTTTAAGGGATTATTTTCTAAGAGTTGATAATCAAAAGACTGTTCATTTTTCATTAATTTTCTTAACTCCATCAGCAAAAAAAAAAATTAACGATTTCGAGGTAAATCATTTAACTATCCAAGGCAAATCACAATCTAGTGGACTACCTAACCTCTGAATCAGCGTGAACATAGAAAGTTACTCAGAAAAAGGAAGATAATCTCTATATTAGTCTTTGACAGTGAGTAACAACTAATGAGAATCTTTGACCTCATCTTATATATAGATTTGTTTTGCCACATCGTCACGACTCATCTTCGAAGATAGTGTTTGGTTCAGACTTAAGTGGCTACATCAGTATAGTTCAGTTTTGGTTTCTGGTTTTTTATAAGCCCTAAAACAATATTTTTATTTATTTCAATATTTAAAAACAGATTATCATGTCAATATCACAATAAATTTATTATTATATGGTTCACATAGATGACCAAGTCCTCATTTCTTTCCGAGGCTCAAATTATTCATAAAATCAAACAAACCGAGAGAACATCATTAAATGGGACAAACAAATCCCACTAGTGAGAAGTCTTGAATAGCTCAACTTTTCAAGGATCATGTACAATAATCTGTACATGCCCTGAAATACTTTGTAACATCGCGGCTCCATCATCTGCCAACTCCTTTTGACTTTCCGCCATACTCCTACGCATGTAAAGCTCCACTCTTTCCAGCATAGGCCCATGCTCGCGTCCAGGCCAACGCCCACGTCCCGACTGAATCAAAAACTTCAAAACATTTAGCTCGCCAAAGCGACCACTGAAGTTCCTCACGACCACGACCTTAAGTGTCTTAGGAAGAGACTTATAGGTAAGGTTCTTTTTCCAATATGACCGTGGACCGACGCCGTAATATGACTTATTGTACTGCAAAATATCAAACGAAAAATTAAGAGGTTTAGTAAAAATCATACATAGTAATGTAACTATTATTCTCAAATATATTCACTACTAGTCTACTACTATATAACAATCTTACCGAGAAAATGCTTCGATTGAAGATATCGAAAGTTAACGTTTCCAGGTTAGGGCAATTATCGAGGAGGAGCCTAATTCCCTTAAATTCTGTGACATGCAACCTCGTTCTCAGCACCAAGTGTTGTGTTTCCATCGGACGAAGCAAATCAAGCGGATCTTCACATTCCTGAATAGTCTTCAAAAAAGAAAAAAAAAACAAGCATATATACTCCGATCAAGTTTACTATCTAACAGTCTTTATATACATCAATTTTAACGTAATAGCTTTAGGTTATCAGATAAGGACAATACATTTTAGCTACCAATACATATTCGTTTTATTCACTAGGCTACTATAAAGTTTCATTTCGAGATATGTTTATAATGTGAAAATGTAATGTAAATATGTTAGGATTTAAATTTATACCTGAAGGAGATAAGGGCAGACACTTAAGGTCCTCGCACCTCGAAGATTGTTAAGGAAGGCAGAAAGAACTGATCCTTCTAATTTGGTTCTTTGATTCCGTTTGTCATACTCGCCCTCTGCGGTGAAATCCAAGTAAACGTCTTTGATGCTCATATTCATTCTCTTGACATCAAAGGAAAGAATTTGGCCTGAGTACTTGAAGATTTCTACATTAGGGAGGTCAAAGGAACAAGCCATGAAAGAGGAGAAGTCACATCTGTCAAATACAAATTCTTTCATATCTCCGGCTATGTTTTTGATTTCAACACCCCAGCAGTAATCAAGACTTAGACTCTTGAGTGTAGGAGAGTTTGATAACAAAGAATCAACCTCAGGGAGTTTGATCCAACCAATAGAGAGCTTTCTAGGCAATCTCGAGTTTGAGAATTTCGAGGGGTCAAACCCGCACGAGTAAATCTTCAGTGATTCAAGGGTTGTTAGACTGTAAACGCATACCGGCAATTGCACAACAACATGATCATACCTCGACGCCCAGCTATTGCTTATCCAAGAAGGGTCTGTGAAATCAAGAACTAGGTTCTTGACTTGTCTTGAGACTGCGAATTCGATCAGGGACTGGATCTCTGCCACAAAGCCCGATGGAATGGAGAAATTAATCTCGAGGGTTTCGATGTAACGACCATGATATCTAGAGATCCATTGACGCATATAGTGAACAAACGAAATCCTTTTGGAGATTTTGTCGGAGACAGAGTGGTCCACATACTCGGATTCCTTAAAAGCAATGTTTCTTGTCTCCCGACAAAGATACCTCCACCTCTTAGCGAGCACACTGGTCCTTAAACATTCCTTAAACGACAAGTAAGAAATGATCGTAATCAGAATCACATCCGGTAGATTGGATAATCCGTCTAGTTGGATACTTGAAGCTGTTCTCTTAGAAGTCATCTCTTTCAATCGAAATCCTTCGATGGAAAAAATGAAAATAGTCAGTGAAGTTATCTCCTTTGCATTTACGATATGGAGCAAGAAATACACTAAAGTGAGATCATTAAAATGTAAAAACTGTATATCTCATAAAATTTAAACAAAATACAAATATTATAACAAGTATAAATAACAACGATTTCATAGATATAAGAACAACTGACGCACCTGAAACTTTGTCCCCTTGCGGTTCTGTCTGTTCATGTTCTCATGATTTTTTTTTGTTTTTCAAGAATTGTGGAGGTTTTTGTTATTTTATCAATTTGTAATTTCTTATATTCTGATGAGTCAAAGTAATATAGTGAATCTGGTAAATGTTTTAAAAGGGAAGAAATATTTAGGTAAATGAATATGCTAGATTGATAGTGTAAAAGATAAGGGTAGGTGATGGCTATTGGCTCACTTGGATATGTATTTCAAAACCATCTGTTAAAATCATATCTCATTTTAAAAGTTACAGCAAAGAAATTATATTTGTTAAGCAAAAACATTATTTGGCTAAATTAAAATCCTATCCCAGCTTTTAAGTCAAAAGTCTTTTTGAAGTAAAAAAGTCTTAATTTGGTTAGATTTTTTGTCTTTTTGGTAAAAAAGCTTATTTGGGATTATTATTACCCTAAAATGCATTTTTGACTATACATATTTGTGGTCAGAAATTTGACCAACTTTTTTATAAAAAGGAACCTATAAAATCCCTTACTATGAAGGATATTTTAAGGAAAGAAATATATTAGGGGGATTTTCTTCTATAATTTTGTTGTTTCTTCTTAATTCATTGTAAAGTTATGTAATATCAAGACAAGAATAATATAAAATATTTATTTGAAAAAAGATAAAATGTTTATTCACTAACTAAAAAACATTGTTTGCTATGCTAATTAAAAAAAAAAATATGTATGTATCTTTCTACACCAAAATATGATTAATATATCATGACATGCACAAACAAAAAAGAAAATAATTCCCTTCGCTTCAGAGTCGAAGTATCAAACAATGTTGGGGCCTTGATATCATGTGGATAGCAGGCCAACTAAGAGAACTAGTCCTCGAGAACTCTCACTTCTGTTACATGAATTGTTACTTTAGACATCTTCAAGTACTCATATGCCATGTTTTTTACTTTTACTTCCACATAACTAAAGTGATTATAAAGAAGTATGATGAACCGAATCAATCAACCCAAATTAAATAAACGATGTACTGGACTTGGTTAACGGTCTTTCCCCGCTACCTTAATGGTCTTGTAGAGTCATTGAGAGTCTACAAGTTAGGGCGACTATATATTGATAAGAATCATTATTCCATTGAACTCCTTTGTATGCATGTTCATTCTCTGAACCAAATCTTTTGTTTCCACATGATGAAGCTAATTAAGGGCAAAACGTTTCCGAGCAGCTAAGACCTGAACGTTTTGTTTTTAGCTTCATCATGTGGAAACACAACATTTGTTCTAAGATGGAAGATGCATACAAAGGAGTTTAATGGAATTAGGATTCTTATCGATAGTCGCCATAACTTGGAGACTATCACTTTCGATATTCTTCCTCGACGCCTGTTCCTGGTAAGATTTCAATACATGCAATAGAGACCAATTATAATTTTTAAAATAATGAAGCGCATAATTTGATCTAATAGTTGTAGACAGCTTTATCATACGTTGGCATTTCACCACAATAAAACCCTTGAACCACAACCTCTGAAACTCTTACCAATATAAGGAAAAAGGAAAAACAAAAGTGATTAAAACGAAGAGAATGTCGCTAGCTAGCTAAAAAATATATATCCAATGGATTGTTCATAATACCGATCACATTTCCAACCTTTCTTTTACTCCTTTGAGTGTAATACTTAAAATTGAACGAGTAAATACTCATATATATATAATTTATGTCCCGATAAAAAATATTCATTGCGTCTGAGTCCTTCAACCTTATTTGGTATTATTCTTAACCTAATACGTTTTTCATTGACTATATATGTTTTTGGTCAGAAATTTGACCAATTGTATTTTATAAGGAACCTATTAAATTTTTACATTGATGGATATTTTAAGTAAGGGAATATATTTACCGAGAAATTAGGGGTAGGAATTTTAACCAAACGAATTGAACCGAAAATTAGCTATTTAAATCTAACCATAATCCATATACAAACCACTTGGTTAAACTTTTCTACAACCGGAATTTGGTTTGGTTTTTGTGTTTGTCTATTTTTAGGCATGGCAATCAAGCTATCCTGATTCCTGACACAAACCCGTAAAACCCGCATATATATGAGTTGGGTACAGCCCGCTCCGGCCCTAACATCGATATAGATTTTTTCGGGGTTTTCCAGGCTACTCTTTGAGAAAGAAAAACAAACTTATAAGTTTAAAATATTTCATAAAAATAGTAAATCAATGTATGAAATGAGCCAAAGAAACCATTAGTATTCATTAAATACAAGTTAATATAAAAATAAAAGTTTAAAACCAAATAAATTATTTAAACTTATACCATATAAAACATAAAACAAAAGATTTGAAACCACATTATGTTGAAGAGTCAAGATTTAAATCCACTTCAATGCATTCTAAATTTATGTCTGCTTCAATGCATTCTATTTTTTTTTTTGTCCATAAGTTGTATATATATATATATATATAATCATATAAATATCGTAGATAATTTTTTTAAAAGTATTAAGTAAATCTATATATAATAGCAATCTAATAAATACCATTTGCACATCTGAACGGTTGCGTCTTTTAATCGCTACCTTTCGTTTAAATCGGTTATTTTTTACTGTTATTTTTTTATGGTTATTTTGGTTGCGTCTTTTTATCGCAATTTTCGTTTTAATCAGTTATTTTTTTACGGTTATGTCGTTTCTAATAAATACCATTTATATATCTGAATGGTTGTGTCTTTTTATTGCAACCTTTCGTTTAAATATTTATAGTTGCTTTTCTTACAGTTATTTTTGTACGGTCATGTTATTTACATAATAATTATTTTTGGTAGACAATTGCAAGCTTTGATTTATATATTTAGTTTATTTCACGAACGATTGCAACCTTTGATTTATATATTTAGTTTATTTCACGAACAATTGCAACCTTTGGTTTATTTTGTAAATTGCTATAACATCTAATTATCTACCGTCGAGTCTCACGGTATAACTTTTCATAAATTAATATTTTTAATTACCAAAATTTATTTAAATGAGATTGTAATCGTTTAATTGAACCATTGAAACATTTGGTTTATCTGACAAATCATTGCAACTTTTGGTTTTATTTTACGAACCGTTGTAATCTTTAGTTTATTTGACAAACTTGACGAACCGTTGCAACTTTTGATATATCGCAACATTTCATTTATTTTTTTAAAGTAAAAAAATTATTTTACGTTATGTATTTTAAGAAAGTTGCAATTCGAATAAATAATTTTTACGGTTGCATCTTTTTATCGTAACTTTTCATAAAATGGTTGCAACCGTTTAGTTGAACCATTGCAACATTTAGTTTATTCACGAAAAATTGAAACTTTAAGTTTATTTTATAAATCGTTATAACATTTAATCATCTACCATCGTTATTATTAATTTTTGTTTGATATTTTTTAAAACAATTTTTGAAATATTTTCCCCCGCGACATCGCGGGGGTCCGGAGTCCTAGTATGAATAATATTATAACATGTAAAACCATCCAACAAAGTCTAAAATTTTTACGGGTCTTTTGTACCGGTCCAAACCCGGTCGGGCTAAACCCGAAAACTCTTTAGTCTTAACTTCTCTAGATGTCACAAAAAGAAAGCTTGTCTCCCAAAAAGCGATAAGAGAAAAGGTATAAGAGAAGAGAATAGAAAAGAAATGAAGAACAAGAGAGAGATCTTCAAGGGACGACTTCTTCTAGGGCTTAGAGATAACGAGGATTTGTAAAAGCTGCAGGGGCTTCGAAAAGAGCATGTGAGAATCTGAAAAAGAATTGTAAAGAGGCCATGAAAGAAGTGTAGGGTTTTCACTTTAAGTCTCAGTCTTTATCGGCTCGAGTCTAGGTTTAAGGGTAAAGTGTCAAAACACGTCATCTTGGTAAGTGCATGGACGAGCTTTTGGACCGGCTACGTGGGCTTTGACCGTTGTGGAGCATGGTAGAGAGGGCGGCCACAGATCCCATGACCGGTGAGGCCAAGAGCTTCCCGACCGGTCACGTTGCTTCTAGCTGGTCTGGACATATCTCCATTCTTCTGGTTGTATCTTCTGAATGGCTGAATAGAATGGTCTGATTCCACTTCGAGGTGAATCTTGACTCTTCTAGATTTTTGTAGCCTCCAAGAGCTCTTGATTTTGTGCAGAGAAAGATCTTCAACGGATGCCCAACTTCGGAAGTTCTGAAACTGTCTAGAAACGGGTTTTGTTCGTCTTTTATTCTTTTTGCTTGAAGACTAATAAATCCTTCTTGAAACAAAAATACTTGAAAACAGCCTTGAAGTACACAAAATCTCTTGAAATCTTCATAAAAAACCTAATAAAAACATAGCAAAAGTGGACGAAAATACGATGTTATCAATACGAGGGAAGAGAAGCCATCCTCTAGCAATCATGGATCGAAACCTAGCAACATATCGAACGAGAACTTCCTCAATTTTCGATTGATTGCGAAATCAACTCCGAAATTATCAATAAACTAAAATTAAACCCGAGCAACCACAAAGTTGCCACTCCGCAAGCACAAAAATGGACTTCACCCACCATCGAGAGCATCGCCTAGAAGACTAGTTGCCATCCTATAATATCAAAAACATGTAATTAAAGGAGCTTTCAATGCATCGAGTACCCATGGGCATAAAGCTCGAATCCATTATGCTCTCAGTGATAACCACCCACTTGGACATCAAGTTAGCCTAATCAATATGATTCAAAATTCTCTTTTCTTTGTAATGTCTCTAAAACAAAGCTTAGGATAAACAAAAGTGAAGATGCATTCAACTATCTTCCTGTTCTATTTGGGAGACAAGATGCCCAGTGGGAAATGTCACACATGTTCATAGAGATTACTACAATGAGAGTAGAATACCTTTATATCCACATTTGGGGGGGGGGGGGGGGGGGGGGGGGGGGGGGGGGGGGGGGGGGGGGGGGGGGGGGGGCAGAGGAATCTATAAATCACTTACTCTTTGATTGTCCGCCTTCAAGGCAAATTTGGGCTTTGTCCACTATTCCTACCTCAGGGCACCTTTTCCCTAGAAATTCCCTCTTCTATAATTTTGATTTCTTTTTCTGGCGTGGCCAAGAATTCGGAATAAGTGAGGAGCTTCTTGAAATCTTTCCATGGATATTATGGTATATCTGGAAAAGTCGCAACAAATTTCTGTTTGAAAATATTAGAGAACCTCCCCAGGAGACTTTAGCCTTGGCAATCCAAAAAGTGCACGTTTGGAAACAAGCAAATTTAAAAGAAAGATTTCCCGAAGACCTCCCCCCCCCCCCCCCCCCCCCCCCGGGCTTCCTGTTCGACCTCTTTCCGTTTTGATCTCGGAATGTCAGGTGGACGCATCCTCGCATGCGAATGATTGTCTTAGTGGGCATGGATAGGTGCTAGTAGAACAGAACAAGATCTGCCACCTAGGACTCAAATGTGTTCGAAGAAGTCTCTCACCGCTCCATGCGGAACTAGATTCCTTGTTGTGGGCAATGGAATGCATGATCTCAATTGGCGTTCCCACGAGTGCTTTTGCCTCTGATTGCTCCGACCTGATCTCCCTCCTAGAGAACCATGATGATTGGCCCACCTTCGCTGCAGAATTGGCCTCGTTCCGGTCCCTCTTGTGTTTTTTTCCGTCTTTTAATATTAGATATATTCCTCGTGATTTTAATTGTAGGGCTGATTGTTTAGCCAAAAAAGCTCGGGCTCGTAATTGCATGTTTTCCCATGTAAGCCAATCGGTTCCTGATTGGCTCTCCCCAGCGGAGAGTCTCTTTCCGATAACTTAATATAATGGTGTTTGAAGAAAAAAGGAAAAGAAAAAAAATAGAGTGAGGTTGGAGATGCGCTAAACAAAGGTGAATGGAACGAACATGCACCAACCCAAAGATGTGTTATTATATTTTCTCTCCAGTCTCAACCTTGTGGTACAAACAACAAGTGTCGTCAGATTTGCAAGAAACATTATCATTGATGCATGTTCATATCTGATTTGAGATTCGCGGTTGTATTGGTAGCCGGAAAATCACCATCAACAAGAACAAAATATGTTTGTCTTAATTTTTAACATGAAATTTTTAATATATTATTCAACTTAAATAGAAAATAATTATTTGGGAAGTAATATACTTTTGGAGAAGAGAAAGTAAGAAAACTATAAATCACTTACTCTTTGATTGTCCGCCTTCAAGGCAAATTTGGGCTTTGTCCACTATTCCTACCTCAGGGCACCTTTTCCCTAGAAATTCCCTCTTATATAATTTTGATTTCTTTTTCTGGCGTGGCCAAGAATTCGGAATAAGTGAGGAGCTTCTTGAAATCTTTCCATGGATATTATGGTATATCTGGAAAAGTCGCAACAAATTTCTGTTTGAAAATATTAGAGAACCTCCCCAGGAGACTTTAGCCTTGGCAATCCAAAAAGTGCACGTTTGGAAACAAGCAAATTTAAAAGAAAGATTTCCCGAAGACCTCCCCCCCCCGGGCTTCCTGTTCGACCTCTTTCCGTTTTGATCTCGGAATGTCAGGTGGACGCATCCTCGCATGCGAATGATTGTCTTAGTGGGCATGGATAGGTGCTAGTAGAACAGAACAAGATCTGCCACCTAGGACTCAAATGTGTTCGAAGAAGTCTCTCACCGCTCCATGCGGAACTAGATTCCTTGTTGTGGGCAATGGAATGCATGATCTCAATTGGCGTTCCCACGAGTGCTTTTGCCTCTGATTGCTCCGACCTGATCTCCCTCCTAGAGAACCATGATGATTGGCCCACCTTCGCTGCAGAATTGGCCTCGTTCCGGTCCCTCTTGTGTTTTTTTCCGTCTTTTAATATTAGATATATTCCTCGTGATTTTAATTGTAGGGCTGATTGTTTAGCCAAAAAAGCTCGGGCTCGTAATTGCATGTTTTCCCATGTAAGCCAATCGGTTCCTGATTGGCTCTCCCCAGCGGAGAGTCTCTTTCCGATAACTTAATATAATGGTGTTTGAAGAAAAAAGGAAAAGAAAAAAAATAGAGTGAGGTTGGAGATGCGCTAAACAAAGGTGAATGGAACGAACATGCACCAACCCAAAGATGTGTTATTATATTTTCTCTCCAGTCTCAACCTTGTGGTACAAACAACAAGTGTCGTCAGATTTGCAAGAAACATTATCATTGATGCATGTTCATATCTGATTTGAGATTCGCGGTTGTATTGGTAGCCGGAAAATCACCATCAACAAGAACAAAATATGTTTGTCTTAATTTTTAACATGAAATTTTTAATATATTATTCAACTTAAATAGAAAATAATTATTTGGGAAGTAATATACTTTTGGAGAAGAGAAAGTAAGAAAACTATAAATCACTTACTCTTTGATTGTCCGCCTTCAAGGCAAATTTGGGCTTTGTCCACTATTCCTACCTCAGGGCACCTTTTCCCTAGAAATTCCCTCTTCTATAATTTTGATTTCTTTTTCTGGCGTGGCCAAGAATTCGGAATAAGTGAGGAGCTTCTTGAAATCTTTCCATGGATATTATGGTATATCTGGAAAAGTCGCAACAAATTTCTGTTTGAAAATATTAGAGAACCTCCCCAGGAGACTTTAGCCTTGGCAATCCAAAAAGTGCACGTTTGGAAACAAGCAAATTTAAAAGAAAGATTTCCCGAAGACCTCCCCCCCCCCGGGCTTCCTGTTCGACCTCTTTCCGTTTTGATCTCGGAATGTCAGGTGGACGCATCCTCGCATGCGAATGATTGTCTTAGTGGGCATGGATAGGTGCTAGTAGAACAGAACAAGATCTGCCACCTAGGACTCAAATGTGTTCGAAGAAGTCTCTCACCGCTCCATGCGGAACTAGATTCCTTGTTGTGGGCAATGGAATGCATGATCTCAATTGGCGTTCCCACGAGTGCTTTTGCCTCTGATTGCTCCGACCTGATCTCCCTCCTAGAGAACCATGATGATTGGCCCACCTTCGCTGCAGAATTGGCCTCGTTCCGGTCCCTCTTGTGTTTTTTTCCGTCTTTTAATATTAGATATATTCCTCGTGATTTTAATTGTAGGGCTGATTGTTTAGCCAAAAAAGCTCGGGCTCGTAATTGCATGTTTTCCCATGTAAGCCAATCGGTTCCTGATTGGCTCTCCCCAGCGGAGAGTCTCTTTCCGATAACTTAATATAATGGTGTTTGAAGAAAAAAGGAAAAGAAAAAAAATAGAGTGAGGTTGGAGATGCGCTAAACAAAGGTGAATGGAACGAACATGCACCAACCCAAAGATGTGTTATTATATTTTCTCTCCAGTCTCAACCTTGTGGTACAAACAACAAGTGTCGTCAGATTTGCAAGAAACATTATCATTGATGCATGTTCATATCTGATTTGAGATTCGCGGTTGTATTGGTAGCCGGAAAATCACCATCAACAAGAACAAAATATGTTTGTCTTAATTTTTAACATGAAATTTTTAATATATTATTCAACTTAAATAGAAAATAATTATTTGGGAAGTAATATACTTTTGGAGAAGAGAAAGTCAGAAAACTAAATAAAGAGATATATAATTTAACAATAAAATTATCAGGTGCAAACCTCTTTTTGTTCATTATTGCATATATATAACAGAAAAATTTGCAAAAGAAAATAGAAAAATGATATTACTTAAGATCTATAAAAATTTATTAATTGAAACAAAAACGTGAATGAGAACAAACAAATTGAAATGATGTGGCAGTAAATATATTAAATAACTATGCATAGCAACTGAGTCAACAATTTTAACATATGAGAACTAAAAGTTTGCATCTTAAAAATAATGTGGCAGTTGTTGTGCTTAAAAACTCTTCATAGCAACTGAGTCAACAATTCTAACAGATTGACTAATATTGTTAGAGTCAATGTATGTTTAAGCTTAAAAACAGTATTTAGAGTATGTAGTCGGCATAATTATTATATACATAATAATATATGTTATATCGCCACTGATCCTTACTTAATGTATGCAGAGGCCACTCTCTTTTTTTTTTGTATTTTAAACGTGTATTTGGAGACTAGATTTTCTGATTAAGAAGCGAGTAAGCTTTACATTCAAATTGGAAGTCTTCCTGATAGTATCTCATAAGGAAACTAGGATCTTGTTTATTGACCCTTATTGATATAATTATCTGTAAAAACTTGGTAAAAAATATCAATGTTGATATAAACTTTATTTTTGTGGGTACCTTAAGTTACTTATATTTCCATTTTTTTGTTTTCTGATTATAATAAACATTATATGTATTTACATAGATTTTCATGTTGTCATTCAATTTTAGAACATTTTTTAACTAATTCAAAATATATTTGAATTTACAAAAATTAACTCCCCTTGTGGTGCATAATTTATATACTACTATATCTTACTAATATATATTTTATTATGAAAATTATAAAATATTAATTTAAAAATTGTTAATTGATTGAAAAATTCTCTAATAAGTATTTTTATAATTTTTATTTTACCAAATATTTTTTATTTACATTTAAAATTTTACAAATTAAAACCCTTTAGAAATTTTACAAAATTATTCATCTCTCCTCAATCCTCTTATGGTGGCTACATATAACACAAAATCCATATTGTCCTTTTATGATTGATTTTAGATATTACTATACGTTACTTAAAATGAATATATTTTAAATTTGAATTGTAAACAATTGGAAATACCTACTATTTAGGTAAATAATCAAACCATCTTTATTTCTTTTATATTATACATTTAGAAAATTAATGTATTTTAAATGTTAAAGATTTGAAAACAAAAATTGAATATATTTTGACATAGATTTGAATTGTAAACAATTGGAAATACTTACTATTTAGGTAAATAATCAAACCATCTTTATTACTTTTATATTATACTTTTAGAAAATTAATGTATTTTAAATGTTAAAGATTTGAGAACAAAAATTGAATATATTTTGACATATGGCGCGTGCAATCTAGGTAAGTACTAGATATATGTCAAATGTTAAGATGTCATGAGATGTATTCAACTCTATATAAGATGACTGTGTTAAACCAAAACTAGACAAACCCTCACCCGAAAAACAAAAAAAAAAACAAAGAAGAATGTCGAGTATGATCAAGATAATAATGATGATGGCTTTGGTAATGATGGGAGTGAAAGCAAAAACTGTGATGAAGGCCAACGAAGTAGACCAACGTGTCATATGTTACAGGAACTGCGATGTTGGTTGTGGCACTGATAATGCCTGTCATCAACGTTGTAAGAAAAATTGCGGTTACCCACCCTTGAAGAATTTTCAGTCATCGCATACAAGTAAGAAAAAAATTAATTTCTATAACCCAATTCTTTAAATACATAGTCGAATCTTATGGCTGTGGAAACTATTTTTGAACTATATAGTTATGTGAATTCTGCAATGACTCTATAGTAAAATAAAGTGAAAATAATGCAAATTTCTGTTTATATTTTATGACTTAGAGTGATTGTATTTACAATCGATGGTTATGATTTATAATGTTTACAGGGGACAACGAGGTAGACCAACGTGTCATATGTTACCGGAACTGCGATGTTGGTTGTGGCACTGATAATGTGTGTCATCAACGTTGTAAGAAAAGTTGTGGTTACCCACCGTTGATGAATTTTCAGTATTCCGATACAAGTAAGAAAAACATTTTAATTTCTAGAACCAAATTCTTTATATATAGTCGGATCTTATGGCTTTGAAAAATATTTTTGAACTCTATAGTTATGTGAATTCTATAATTACTCTATGGTAAAATAAAATGAAACTAATGCAACTTTGTTTTTATTATATGATTTAGTGTAATTGTATTCACAATTGATGGTTATGATTTATGATGTTTATAGGGGCCAACGAAGTAGATCAACGTGTCATATGTTACCGGAACTGCGATGTTGGTTGTGGCACTGATAATGCATGTCATCAACATTGTAAGAAAACTTGTGGTTATCCACCCTTGATGAATATTCATCTATGATTTGTTGAGATTCAAAAGTCATGGACTTGTGAAACTTTTATTATATAATTATCTTCGTGATTTAGTTGTTTATTTCTTGAGTTTTTATATGTTGGGGTTGTAATTGGCATGAAAAGATTCTATATAAACATACTAAAATCAAACAAAGCGATTACTTTCATAAAATAAATGTGATGGTATAATACTCACTAAAATATAAAATTTGAGACTCTTTCATAAGATTCCAAATTTGAACCTAAAATTGAAAACCTATATTTTTTTATTTTATTTTTTTCGTCAGAAAGAAATTATATTAACTTTGAAATGTCATTACAAATTCGAGAATGAAGCCATTCTGGCTGAATACAAGAATCAATAAAAGATGAAGATGGAATACAACCAAATTTTGCAAGATCATGAGCCACCTGATTGCCCTCTCTGCGTACAAATCGAAACTGAACATCGTCAAACTTCAAAGCCCAATAATGAATGTCCAGGAGATGGTTAGCGATCAAACAGTTCCCCGTAGTCCCGTTAACCGAGTTGATTAAAACCTCACAATCAGCTTCAAAAATTACGTTTTTGAACCCTCGAATCCATGCTTGTTGTAGAGCTGCCAAAAGAGCCTTCGTTTCTGCTTCTAACGGTGTTCCCGCATGACCCAATGCAGTTGACCCCCACGCTTTCGGGAAACCCCTGAAATCTCTTAATATCCATCCGCCCATTCCTTGTAGATTATGTAGATTTAGCCCGGCATCAAAATTACATTTGACATGAGCACGATCCGGAGCCGTCCAGTGACCTGCGACATTGATAGATATTGATGGTGACGTTGATCTTCGTCTCTGTTTTCTTGTACCTTCAAGCCACTCCTTTGTTTCAGCCTGCGCCTTTAGAACTGTGTTTGTTGGACTTTCTCTGAAGTTATTGAAAACTAGATTGTTCCTCGATCTCCAAATTCTCCATAGTAGCCAGAAAGGAAGCAATTTCTGAAAATCGGTGATAGTACTCGACTGGAGAAAATTAACAACAGTTGTGATATTTTCCTCAACGTCTTCTGAGATCATCTGCAAGTTAGATAATGGAGTATTTGATAATCGCCAAATCATAGAGGAAACAGAGCAAGTGAACAGAGCATGGTTTATCGATTCATCATGACTTCCACAACGCGGACAAATAGGGTCAATTCTCATTCCCCGTGTTATCAGTCTTGCTTTTGTGGCCAAGGCTTTAGAAAGTGTTCTCCACAAAAAATGTTTGATCTTTGGCATGATTGGGAGTCGCCAGATCTTGTTTTTTAACTCAATAGAACCATGCGGTCTATCCAGCGGAATAGCATTTGTAGGGTCATGAGTTAGAAACCAGTAACCCGACCTCACCGTGTACTCCCCTGATGGATTGTAGTTCCAAATAAGTCTGTCCGATTTCATCTCTCCAGACAAGTAGATACATTGGACGACATCATGATCACACCGGTCAACTAGCTCCGTGATTTTTGTTGCATCCCATGATCGACGGGATCCTTGAACAGAGAACAACTTTTCTAAGGGTAGTTCTTTCAAAGTTTCTTCCGTGATTAGAGGTCGAGGTGGATGAGAATCAACAATATTATCCATGCCTATACGTATATTCTTCCCATCACCTACTATGTATCTTGTACCCTTTCTCAAAAGGTCTATGCCAACTAACAGAGATGACCATCCATATGATTGTTGTTTCCTTTCCTTAGCCTCCAGAATCGATTCGTCTTTAAAGTAACGGGCTTTCATGACCCTAGCAAACAGAGAGTTTGGATTCTGAATTACCCGCCAAGCTTGTTTTGCAAGTAACGCATCATTAAACTTCGTCAAATCCCGAAATCCTAGACCACCTTCTTTTTTTGAAAACTTGAGTTTTTTCCAGGCTACCCAAGGAATTCCTCTCCGATTAGATGTTTTTTCCCACCAAAAGTTCATAAGTAGAGTCTCAATCTCCGAAGTAATTCCTTGCGGTAATTTAAAACAGGACATTGCATAGACTGGCATAGCAAGAGCAACAGCCTTAATCATAATCTCCTTACCAGCTGGAGATAAAAACTTTGCACTCCAATTTGTAGTTCTCTGTTTGACACGTTCAATAATGTATTCAAACATCTCCTTTTTCTTTCGACCAAATTGCTCAAGAAGGCCAAGATACTTTCCTCCTCCCCCTTGGTTTGGAATATCAAGAATCACTTTTAAACGTTGTTGAGAAGAGCCAAACACGCGTGAACCAAACGTTATCATTGACTTGTGAGTATTTATTTTCTGTCCAGAATAGTATTCATAGACATCGAAAACATCTTTCAAAGCTTTACAATTCTTCGCATTGGCTTGGCAGAAAAATAAACAATCGTCTGCAAATTGCAAATGAGTAATTCCCGGTGCACCATTTCCAATCCGGACTCCCCTTAGCTCACCATCCGCAGCTTTAGACTTGATTAGATGACTTAAAATATCCCCACACAAGATGAATAGGTATGGTGACAAAGGATCCCCTTGTCTTATTCCTCTAGTTGGTTTAACATTTCCATACGGAGTGCCATTAATCAGGACTGAAAACTGAACTGACTTGACCGCGGCCATTATCCATCCAACCCATTTATCACAAAAACCAAAGAGACGCATCGTCGTTTCAAGAAAATCCCATTCTACTCGGTCATACGCCTTACTAACATCTGTTTTCACCGCCATATACGTTTGAGATACCCTTTTCCTGACCTTCAATGAATGCATTATCTCATGTGCAATCATAACATTATCATTAATCATTCGGCCCGGTATGAACGCAGCCTGTGAGTCTGAAACAATGGAATCCAGATGCGTCTTCAAGCGACCAACGAGACACTTTGAAATAATTTTGTAAAGTACATTACAAAGTGCTATTGGTCTATAATCGGATAAGGTTGTAGGATTGTCTATCTTCGGGATCAGACACACATTCGTATGATTGATACTCGGAGTCATCGTCGATGTTTCAAAAAAGTTCCGGACTTCCTTGACAACATCTTGACCAACTATATGCCAACATTGTTTGTAGAACCTAGCTGTTAGGCCATCCGGTCCCGGTGCTTTGTCGTCTCCAATAAGGCTAATCGCTTCATAGATTTCACTGTCACTAAACTCTCTTGTAAGATCAGAATTAATATTCGGAGTAACAGTTGCTTGAAAATCTGCAAAATCAATAGGAGAAACTTGAACCCCATTTGTTGTGTAGATATTGGTGAAAAAATCCTGAGCATGATCTCCCACTTCTTTATCTCCCGTAAACAATCTACCATGTTCATCATTGATGGAGATTATTCTGTTTTGACTAAAACGATTTTTTGCACAAGCATGGAAGAAGGTTGTGTTCTGGTCGCCTTCATTCATCCATTTATTTCGACTCTTCTGTTTCCAATATCTCTCTTCATCACTATAAGCTCTAGATAAGGATTCCTGCAAAAACGGTATTTGTTGTCTCTCCCCACGTACGATGCTCTCCATTGCTCTGTTAAGACGTCCTTGAAGTGTTTTGATTCTCACTTCCGCATTGATATTATACCTGTGCTTCAGTCTTGACATAGCTTGACGACACGTACGTATACGTTCTGTGATAACTGTGGCCTGGGGATTATTTCTAGTATTCCATCCTTCTCTAACAACTTTTTTAAACTCCGGTATATCAATAAGACGCTTGTCAAATCGGAAAGGTTTGTATCTTTGCTGACCTGAATCATTGGAGTGAACAACAATTGGCCTGTGATCAGAACCAGAGAATTCCAGAAATTCTGTTTGTGCATTCGGGTAGGAGGCAGCCCAAGCCGAGTTGATAAACACTCTATCCAAGCAACATTTGATTGCATGTGTGTGTCTTTCCCCTACCCATGAGAAACGATCTCCTCTTGATCGCATATCAATCAAATCACATGTAGAAACCATGTTTCTGAAATCTCTGAAGGTCCACTCATCTCTCAAAGGTCCACCAATTTTTTCCTCATTTGAAAGTATTTCATTAAAATCCCCGATTAACATCCATTCTTCATCTCGATTTTCTGAAAGTTATTCCAACTTATCCCAAAGTATATATCTTTCACTCTGAATTGGGCGGCCATACACACAAGACAAGTAGAAGCTCTTATGATTAATAGTTACAAATGTATCAATGAGTCTTTCATCCTTAGAAATCAAGGATAAAGAAACATTGTTTTTCCACATAAGAGCTAAGCCACCACTCCTTCCACAGGGGGGCTGTGTTATTACATTAGAGTATCCTAAATCACACGATAATTTACATAATACATCACACTGATTAAGAGTTTCGACTAAAAACAGTATATCAAATTTATGTAGTCGAACTAACTGAAACAGACGAGACTTGGTAGTAGTGGCGCCGATGCCTTGGCAGTTCCATGAGAATATCCTCATATTGGATCCTCTGGGGGAACCGGGCCCCCCGCGCCTCTGTCTATACCATCGTGCAAAGAGCAAGAACCAGCAGACTCAGTCCTCCTTTCCTTCTTGCAGAGATGACTCAGGACCATCATCTCATTCGCTGCTTCTTCCCTCTGGTACCTTTCTTCAAACTGAACCCTCTTCCTTTTCATGAACACAAACTGATGTTGTGCATTGTCGGACAGATTCTCCAAGAAACCATCATGAGCAGAACCATTTCCCACACCACGAGCAAGTTTAGTATGAAGATAGCGGAGCCTCTCCGCGGTGAGTTCAGTGTCTTCAAATGCGCTTGGGATGGACGAAACATCAGAGTTTGGCTGATTACCATTTCCAACACCACGGCCTGCAGATTGAAGACCAGGAATGAGAGTAACTGGATCCACTGTCTGAAGGGTATCCGTGTCAGACATGTCCTTATCACCATTCTCGTCTTGTTGGTCTTCATTATCATCATCATCATCACTGTCTTCAACAGGATCTTCATCATCAAACGACAGGGTGCATTCTTTCACACCATGCTTCAGCGATCCACATTTGGAACAGAAGTTCCTTAATCTCTCAAAGCGAAACTTGATCACAATGTTTTCATCTGCAGCAAACTGGAAATTCCTCTGAAACCTCAATGGATCATCCAAATTCCACTTAATCTGGACTCTTACAAATCCAGGGTGATTTGCATTCTCATCAAAATCAACCTCAGCCACATTCCCTAGCCTATTTCCAACACACCTAGCCATTGCATTGGTAAGGTACCAGAGCGGAATGCCCTGAATTTGGATCCAAAATGGTATGATTTTCATCTCTGCCTCCGAGATATTTGGGTACCAACGGTGGATTGAGAGCATTCAGTCGTTAAACGACCAAGGGCCATGTCGGAGAACCAGATTCATCGCTTCCTCCGATTGAAACTTGAATTGAACCCTCCATTTATCCAAAATCCGGCCAACACACGAGTTAGGGAAACCCCACACCTTTGGCATCTGTCCAATCAGGGCACGAAGATTCTGCTTCCGTGGGTTAACTGTCGTCACCACCAGCGAGAAACGGTTCACCAAAGCCGCCTGAGAACAGAACTCAACAGACAAAGACACCGGTTCGTCATCGATGCCCAGACTGAGATCTTGTACGGATTTTCGAAGTCTGTCACTCATGATTGATCCACTAAGGGTTGAGAAAGGAGAGAATTTGGTATGTGAAATCAAAGAAAGAAGATCATTGGATTTATAGGGAGGTTTCCATGGCGGTTTATGAGGGTGGTTACCCTCCGAAAGCAAAGGAGAATTGTAACTGCCATGGAAACTACCAGGCGAAGGAAACCGCCGTCAATATTCCGTACAGCAAATCAGAAATTAATGATCGGAAAAACACTCCGGCGTGGAGAATCGAAAAGGTGTGAAGGCGGAAAGAAATCGCCCAGAAAATCGCCTCTAGAGAGAAACGACATCTTTAGACGTTGTTTTTTAAAATGGTTTGAAAACCTATATTTATTGACAAATTATTTGAATAAAAATTCAAATTCGAACCAAAACTAAAAATATATCAAACAATAGATTATGTTTTACTTTGTAAACTAAATCAAAAACCTCCAATCGAAGTTGACACAAAATCTTGATTGAAAAAATGATAGCAATTTTCAAACGTAAAATTATATTTTATAATTCTTAGATAGTCAAAAAAAATTATACCTCCTAATGAAATCATCAAGAACAATTTTAATTAGTAATGCAATCAAAGTAAAATATATAAGAACGGAAATAAATCATAGTAAATTAAAAGAAAGAACATATAGATGTAGACACATACAAGAACTATTTTAAAATTAACAAAAATTTTGAAATTTCTATTTTGGCTTTTAGTTTATATATTTCTATATTTTACTTATATTTCCATCAAACATTTTCAGATTTTAAAGAATTATATAAATTTATATAAATTTCCAAATTTCAATTGCTTAGTGATAAACTAACTTTTAAAATAAAAATATCAAAATAATAGAAAATTATAGTAATTATTGAATTATTCTCTACTAATTTTTTATTTTAAAAGTTAGTTTATCACTATATTTATTCACATTTTAATTCGTACAGATTATTACAATTTCCCTACTTCACTTGGTTATATATATAGATATATATATATAATAAGAATAATATTTTCCTTTTGTGCTTCATTTGACAAGTTTCTAAAATTTAATTAAATTGTGTTTTTCAATTGGATTTAAAAAATTATAAGTGCTTATATATTAGGTAAATAATATAAACATCTTTATTACTTTTAAATTGTTGTTTTATAAATTTAATGTATTTAAATGCTAAATTTTTCGTATAAAACTTTATATAATAAGACTATGTTGAACCAAAAGTTGATAACTCAAGCCGGAAAAAAAAAAAGAAAAAAAAAACACCAAAGATGAAGTGGAGTATGATTAATAATAGTGACTGTGATGGCTTTGGTATTATTAATGGACGTGAGAGCAAAAACTGTGACGGACTGTCAAGAAATAGAATGCAAGTCCTACTGTCAAAGCATGAATAATATAACTTATAACGGTTGTATCTTCGGATGCGTTTCTATTCAGTCTTATATGTATTCTGGACAAGTAACCAAAATCATTACTCTCTATAACTGGATCTCAGTTCTTAAACCTACAGTTATATATCATTTTAACTTTGTATTATTTAACATTCTAAAAACAGTGAAATACAACAAGTATTCACAAATGATGATTATAACTTGTTATTAATGATGTTACATGGACGAAAGGATGGGACATGAACCCGAGGATGTGTTATTATATTTCCGTTAGATTTTGTGGTATAGAAAACAATTGTGAGAAGCGTTGTAGTAAGCGTTGTGGTTGGCCACTCCTCGATTCATCTTCATCTCTGATTTAAGATTCATGGGTCTAATTAGACATGTGGAACTATGGTTATATTTTTTGTCTTGTGATTTACTTGTTTATTTTTCTTGAATCTTTAGATGTTCGGATGTAATTTGACATTAAAAATTTCTCAATAAACATACTAAAATCTAATATAAAGAGATCAATTTCTTATATAAAAAAAAGTGATGGCATAATACTTATTAATGCTTAAAATTTAAATACATTTACTTGCTGGATGATTTTAAAAACAACATAATTTAGAAGATTAAAATTACAAGAGAATAAAAAAATTAGTTAAAAATACACATTTACAGGTTTGTAATATCCCAATAAACTATATTTGTGAGGTCCCATCTTCTGATTAGGAAGAGAACAAGCTTTTTTTGGCATTATTTTTAATTTATACATAAAAATTATTTTGGCATAAGGTTTTATAAATGTGTTTTATTTTCGAACTTACTTATATTAAGCTTAAAACGGAGCCCATTTCGATCAAAAATAGCCAGAAAATCAAGCCTATTTCGATGAAATTTTGGTTTAGGGGAAGTACATGGACTCGGCTTTGTGCATTACATGCCCATTAAGAAGAAAACCCAAAGCTGGTCCATTACTGAAAAATATAGTTTCACAACAATGGGATGAGTGGTGAGGAAATATTTAAATTTAGTAGGTCTCCAAATTGTCAGTGAGTGGGGCACAATTTTTCTCCCGCCTTGTTGATAAAGATATATTTTCAGATGTCGAAATTCGAGATGAAGACGAAGGTATGCTACGTTCACAGTGCTGAGAAATTAGTTTGCGGGTTAGATATTGTCGTCACCACAAGGTGTGAAGGGTTATCGCCAGAACAACAAGCCAATGGAGTGGTGCAAAGTGAGGAAAGATTTCTGACAACGAAAAACGGATTCATCAAAAAAGAAAGGTGGTCTAAAAAGTGGGAACAATTTCAAGTAAATAAGAGAAGCGGTACAACAATACAAGAACAATACAAGAGTGTGGACATCCCAACGCCGGCGAGCAATGACTCTACCGGCATAAGACAATGAACTCATATTTGATGCCTAGAAAATGGTGTTTAGGTGAGAGAAATTTTATGTATAAATGTGTTATTGATTCCAAATCGGAAGAATTTAGTGATTACTAAATGCAGTTTTCTTCCCACCAAAAAAAAAAAATGTAGTTTTCTAATTTTTATTATATTTATTAACAAATTAAATACAGAATGAGTATTGCATACTTTCTAACTAATACACAAACCTTAGACAATCAAAGTTTATGAATATATAGTTGCAACTTGTTTCCAACAATTTCAAATTCAAATTCCAGATAATTTCATGAAATCTGAATTAATCTCTAAATGTGTGTGCATCCCATCATGTGAGGTTCTGTTACAAATAATTCAGTATAAAGATATGCTAAGGATAAGATTTAGGCTTAAACTTTTAATAACTAAGGTTTTGGCTGGTGATCATCACAAAAACCATATGAATTAATAAAAAAAAAATTGAATAAAGAAAACAAAGAGAATATAAAGATGATCAAAATAAGGAAGGAAGAAGAATTGTTGTAAATGAAAAATTGAACAAATTTTCATTTGTAAATGTAACCAAACAATTAAATAAGTATTTTTTGATAATTTTAAAATATATAACTAAAGCAATGAAATGAAAATATTGTTTTTCTTTTTTAAGTTAGTCACAGCCCATTTAAAAGGCCTGTTAGGCCCATTACTCTGCCAAACAAGCTTGCGTTGCAATTAATAAGCCGACCTACGTATGAACGTTCGAGCAGTTTCCAATTTTCCATACGCAGTTCTCAGTTTTGTACAATTTCCCTTTTTATCCTTTTTCCCGGACCAAATTTGTCTACGATTTGGAAAAAGGTATCATCATTCTCAAACTTATCTAACCTTATATAAACCAGCTTCTACGCTCTTTTTCTTCACAACTAAAAGTCTAAAACCTAGCAAAATCTTTCTCTCAAAACTTTTCGTCTCTGCTCTATAGCTAAAGCTTTTCTTTTTCTGTTAGTGTGATAATGGCTGGTAAAGGAGAAGGTCCAGCCATCGGAATTGATCTTGGTACTACGTACTCTTGTGTTGGAGTATGGCAACACGACCGTGTTGAGATCATTGCTAATGATCAAGGTAACAGAACCACTCCTTCGTACGTTGCTTTCACCGACTCTGAGCGGTTGATCGGTGATGCTGCTAAGAATCAGGTTGCCATGAACCCGGTTAACACCGTTTTCGGTATGGAACTCATCTTTTTTTTTTCTCTGTTTTTTATTCTTCTAGTCAAGTTGAGTTACGAATATTTAGGGTTTATATGTGATCTTAATTGTTAGGGTTTAAAGGTGATCTTAATATTTAGGGTTTATAGTAAGAAAGAATTTTAGATGAAGTTGATGAAAAAGAATTTTTAGGGTTTATAGGTGATATATAATATAGATTTTTGTTTACTGTATATTGATTTGATATTTCTTAAATCACTTGGAGTGTTTTGACAAAACTCTGTTTTTTTTTTTTTATGATTGTGACAGACGCAAAGAGGTTGATTGGTCGAATATTCAGTAACGCATCTGTCCAAAGTGACATGAAGTTATGGCCTTTCAAGATCATCCCTGGACAAGCAGACAAACCAATGATTTTGGTAAACTACAAAGGAGAAGAGAAACAATTCGCTGCGGAAGAAATCTCTTCCATGGTTCTCGTTAAGATGCGTGAGATCGCTGAAGCTTACCTTGGCTCTTCGATCAAGAACGCTGTGGTCACTGTTCCTGCTTACTTCAATGACTCTCAACGTCAAGCTACAAAGGACGCTGGTGTGATTGCTGGTTTGAATATTTTGCGTATCATCAATGAGCCGACGGCTGCTGCTATTGCTTATGGTCTTGACAAGAAGGCAACAAGTGTTGGAAACAAGAACGTGTTGATCTTTGATCTTGGTGGTGGTACTTTTGATGTTTCTCTTCTTACCATTGAAGAAGGTATCTTTGAGGTCAAGGCAACAGCTGGTGACACTCATCTTGGTGGTGAAGATTTCGATAACAGAATGGTTAACCATTTTGTTCAAGAGTTTAAGAGGAAGAACAAGAAAGATATCAGTGGTAACCCGAGAGCGCTAAGGAGATTGAGAACTGCCTGCGAGAGGGCAAAGAGAACTCTTTCTTCTACCGCGCAAACGACCATTGAGATTGACTCTTTGTTTGAGGGAATTGATTTCTATTCACCAATCACTCGTGCAAGATTTGAAGAGATGAACATGGATCTTTTTAGGAAATGTATGGAGCCTGTTGAGAAGTGTCTTCGTGATG